GTCCCCATCCTTATGACTTTATTCGACATGAATTGTTCCCTTACTCCAAGGATAGTCCTATTGGGAGTTGGGGCTTCAACGTATGAATACTGGAGGGAAATAAGTCAGTCTATCACACTGAGACAATGAAAGGTGCTATTTATTTTTCTTTTTCCTTTCTTTCCTCTTCTGTCCCATATACCATCATCTGTTCATTCAGTGCACCTATGCTGAGCCCATGTAGAAAAAATAAAGGCTAAATTCTCATGTCTAAGAAAATATTTAATAAAGGAGGGAAATAGCTAATAAAACTGAGAAAGAGGGGCGCCTGGGTGGCTCAGTCGTTAAGTGTCTGCCTTCGGCTCAGGTCATGATCCCGGGGTCCTGGGATCGAGCCCCGCATCGGGCTTCCTGCTCCGCGGGAAGCCTGCTTCTCCCTCTCCCACTCCCTCTGCTTGTGTTTCCTCTCTCGCTGTGTCTCTCTGTGTCAAATAAATAAAATCTTTAAAAAAAGAAAAAAGACTGAGAAAGAGAGAAAGAGACCTACCGATATATCAGAGAATAGAAGAAGACAGATTTGGGAAAAATATAAAAATTGAAATAATATATTTCTGATAGTTCTCTGTCTGAGATCAAGCTGGCTGTCCCAGAACCTATTCTTGAAACCCTCCCAGGGCTTGGGAGAGCGCTGGAGTGTCTCGTCCTTCCTGGAGCAGGGAATAGGACTCTAAACTGAGGATATCATTGCTACTTTAGAATCTTGACTTTAGTTAACCATAGAGTAATTAGTTTTCTACTGAGGCATAACAAATTTCCACAAAGAATAGCTTAAGACAACACCCATTTATTAACTCTCAGTGTCGTAAGTCAGAAGGCACACGCTGGGTTTTCTGCTGAGTCTCAAATGGCTGAAATCAATACATCAATCAAGCTGAATTCTTGTTTGTAGGCTCTAGAGAAGAACCCACTTCAAGTTCATTCAGATTATTGGCAGAATTTAGTTTCTGGAAGTTGTGGGATTGAGGTCTCCATTTCCCTATTGGCTTTCATCCAGGAGCTGTTCTCAGTTCTTCCAGGCAACCCACACTCTTTGCCACATGGTCTTCTCCATCTTCCAGTTAGCAAGGGTACATGGCATCCTTCTCCAGCTCCCAATCTCTGACTTTCTCTTCTGTGATGCACTGGAGACACTCTCTGCTTTTAAAGAGCTCATTTGATTAGGTCAGCGCTACCAGGATAATCTCCATCTGAAGGTCAACTATGCCATATAACATCACTTAATCATGGGAGTAAAATCCACCATATTCACAGTCATGTGAACTATGCAGAGAGTACATATTGGGCTTAGAGGAGGGAACCACCTAAGAATTGTGGTAGGCAGTACCAAAACCTAACAATTATTAGTGTTTTAAAAGACTTCCCTTTTTTTTGGGTGCCTGGGTGGCTCAGTTGGTTAAGCGACTGCCTTCGGCTCAGGTCATGATCCTGGAGTCCCGGGATCGAGTCCCACATCGGGCTCCCTGCTCAGCAGGGAGTCTGCTTCTCCCTCTGATCCTCTCCCCTCTCATGCTCTCTCTCTATCTCATTCTCTCTCTCAAATAAATAAATAAATAAATCTTTAAAAAAAAAATAAATAAAAGACTTCCCTTTTTGTGGAGCAGGAGGGCCAGACAATGAAACAAAAGTCCACATGGACTGTGCTTAAGTTTTATTTGAGTACATGAGCTGATATGCATAGAGACTCATTTTTTTTTTAAGATTTTTTTATTTTTATTTATTTGACAGAGAGAGACACAGTGAGAGAAGGAACACAAGCAGGGGGAGTGGGAGAAGGAGAAGCAGGCTTCCCGCTGAGCAGGGAGCCTGATGCGGGGCTTGATCCCAGGACCCTGGGCTTATGACCTGAGTCGAAGGCAGACGCTTAATGACTGAGCCACCCAGGCGCCCCAAGACTTGTTTTTTGACTGAAGAAAGAAAGAGGAGAACTTTTGTTTTGCCTTGTCTTTGTCAGTGGATGTCTACAAGTAGGGGAAGAGAATAAGGAAACAACTTAGCCTGTACATTCCCCATCACCACCATGAACTAACTGACTCTGAGCCCCTACAGAGAACGAAGAAAAAGCATAGATGAGAAGCAGAAAATGGCTGAGTTCAGGGAATTAGGAACACACTGATTCTGTGGGTATTGCTTCAGAATTTTAGTAAGAGTGTGGAGGACCTCAAACTTTCAGCATACCCCACAGCCCTCCACACCTTTGTTAGCTTTAGCCTCCAGTGTAAAAGTACACAGAAGAACAGCAGTGTGGTCAGAGCTCCAGGCCCTCAGAACAGCAGGAGAATGGTGGTGTCTAGGGCAATCAATCCTGGTGGTTGTTCTGCATTGGGGAGATAAGTTTGAGTGGTTTTCTTAAAATTAAAAAAAATTTTTTTAATAAAAATTTCATTTTTAAGGAAATATCATTTGGATTTTATAATCCTAGCTCAGAATGGGAATCATGAAATTAATTTCTATTTTACCATCCCTTATTCCTAGAAATAGTTTTATCATTTCTCTTTCTAGAAATTGCAATGAAATGTTCACAAGCTTATTTTGCTTTGTTGCTGATAACATGCATACCGTGAAACATTTTTCTTTGTCTGGTTCATCCAGTTGTTTAAAGCCTTCCTGATTATATTACTTAAAGTTGTGGACTGCTGCCTCCCAGGTACCAGGGACCTTTATGAAGACTTCAATTAGTTCCTTCATTTTAAAGAATGTCCAGAAATCAAAAGAGGATAATTACCCCATATTGTGTTTCCAGTAGTATATAGATCACATAAAAGTGGACAAGAATGATTTTTACATTAGTGAGATCTAAGAGCCCAGGGTTGAATTATGTCAAACTTGCTTCTAGGTTGTTCTTTTTTTTTTTTATTTGACATTTTGATTCTTTTTTAAAAAAATTTTATTGTTATGTTAATCACTATATATTACATCATTAGTTTTTCATGTAGTGTTCCATGATTCATTGTTTGTTCATAACACCCAGTGCTCCATGCAGAATGTGCCCTCTTTAATACCCATCACCAGGCTAACCCATCCCCCTACCCTCCTCCCCTCTAGAACCCGCAGTTTGTTTTTCAGAGTCCATCGTCTCTCATGGTTCGTCTCCCCCTCTGACTTACTCCCCTTCATTCTTCCTCTCCTGTTATCTTCTTTTTAAGAATGGCTTCACTGAGGATCACCTATCCACTCTCTTGATTGTGAAGAGAGGCTCTGCAGTATAGTCTCATTGGCAAATGAATGGTGTCATTTGGCTGGGAGATTGAGGATGGGGGTGTAGTCTTGCCTGTGCTCAGGCAAAATGCATGTAAGAAGCATTGGCTTTCTCTCTGTTTCTCAAGCTTACTCCTACTTCAGGGTCTTTTCACATGTTGCTTCCTTTGATCTCCAAAGGTCTTGGCAATTTCCATCACTCCAGTGGGTGCTTGGGTACCACCTGTCCTTGACCTTCATAGCTAAAGTGGTTCACTGTTGCTGTTGATCAGGTAGCCCTATTTCATTTTCTGCATAGCATTTATAACTACCGGAAATCATTATGTTGCATGTTTCCTTCTGTAACCTGTTGTTGACTGAGACCTTTTATATTATTTTTAAATAGCTGACTTAGGTTCAAAGCTGAGGACAAGTAAGTTGTCATATACCCCTGAATTCTAAAAATTGCCATAAAAGATCAGGCTCAGGTCCCTCCCTTGGGTCTAATTAAATAACTGCAGATATGGCCCTGTTACCCTCAACAGATTGGGGAGGGGGTTCTGGAAATGGACAGGGCTGCAGAGAGAGATAGGGAGTCAGGGACTACTGGTCTTGTGGAATGGTGGGAGGTTACTTCCTCCACTCCCACCACCATCCAGCCCAACCAAGTGACCTCAGAGTCTCCAAGAAATTTGTTCCTAGAGCTGGGGGATTTAATTGAAAGTAGGGTGATATCTGCTCCCTGGATAGATGATGGATGATTGACCAGCAGCAGAATGGGCAGTGTGGTGAGGGAGTAACTATAAGAGTTTAATGTGTTCTGGGGGGAGTCTGGGGTCATTGATAAACACAGAGGCAGTTAACTCCTTCTCACCTGGAATTACCTGAAGGTGGGTTGCTTAATAGAGCAGACGGAGCCAAAAGAGTGAATATGGACTATGGTCTGGGGTACCTGACAAAACTGGTATTTCCCATGGCCCGTAGAAAACCTGGAAGAGGACCTCCAGGGTTCCTGATGCTCTAGGTCAAGGAGCACAGAGGTAGGAGGAAAGCGCAGAGTTGTAGTCCTGATCAGGTAACAGGGAGGTGATGTCCCCTGGGGAATGTTGGAAGGGGCTCAGCGTCCCAACGCACAAGCCATGGTCTATGCCAGAACCTAATCATTTGTAGACTATTCCATTTTACAGACACTGTTCTAATGAACATTTATCAAACTGGCTCAGCTCAGAAGATAGAAAAGTGACAGGAGGTATCAGCACTACACCATCAGCTGGGAGCTTTGTTTGCCTAAAGTAGGACGTCTGGTCACTTCCTGGCATGCCTTAATGACCATTTCATTATTTGGGAGGAGTTTCAGATGTAGGAAGACATGTATCCAAGATTTTACTGAGGCAGATATTTCTTAAATGTGAAGAAAAGATTCTAAACAAGAGTATGACTCAGGATGGAAGGGCATTGGTAAGACTGCATAATGCAGGAAAGGAAGTCTCTAAAACAATCTAAATAGCCTCCCAGGAGATCTCCAGTGAGCATACATTTGAAAAGGTCATGTACACAAAAATTGAATGAGTCAGTGATAACCAAGAATGAAAAGCAAAGGAGTGTGTTGTAAAAGCTAATGACTAGCCTCAATTAACACTGTGAAAAGTGAAGGAAACAAAAGGCATAATGTCTATTCTTAGAACAGAATATGAGAAAAATGGCTCAGAACAATGTTTTGCAAGATGGTGCAACATAAGCAGGTAAAAGAAAGGTCAGAATTTCCTTGTTTCTGTCTCTTTGACCAGGAACAATGGACATTGAACTGGGTGAATATGGAACAGGTTTACTGAAAAAGACATGAATTTTTCATAAATGGAAGATCTGTCATGTTCCTGGATCAATGAGGGTAGGTATTCAGCTATTGCCACAGTTATGTATAGAGTTAACAAAAATTCCAGTTAAAATCCCCGTAAGTATATGTTCCCCAAAGCACATGTCCAAGAATTACTGTAGCAGCACAATTCAAGTTAGCTGAAAACTGGAAGAAATCCAGCAGAATGTATAAATAAATTGTTGTGTAATCCTAAAATGGAATACTATACAGCAGTGAGAAAGAGCAGATACATTTTACAACATGAATAAATTTTGCAAACATAGGTTTATAAAAGAAGTCAGACACCACATAATACATACTGTATGGCTCCATTTACATAACGTTCAAAATCAGGCAAAGCTATTTATACTGCTAGGAGTCAGGATGGTAGCTACTGTGGAGGAGTAAAGCCTGGAAGGGGCATGAGGGGCTCTTGATTTGGAAACTGATTAGGAAAGTACTAGTTTTGTAAAAATTCAGATGTACACTCGTGACTTGTGTACTTTTCTGTAGGTATACTATGTACTCATGAGATGTGTACATCATCTACAAATAAAGAATTGGTCCCACGGGATTTTGTTTGGAACTTGACCAAACTCTTATAGAGTTTATTTGGAAAATTATAATGGTAAGTGCATGTATTAATCGGGGTTCTTCAGAGAAACAAAAAGAAAATGTATACATGATTCATTATAAGAAATTGACTCATGTCATTGTGGAGGTTCACAAGTCCCAAGATCTGCAGTTAGCAAGCTGGAGATTCAGGAGAGCCAATGGTATAGTTGCACTATGAAAGCTGGCAGGTTGGAGACCCAGAAAGAGCTGCTGTTTCTGTTTGAGTCCCAAGGCATGAACAAAATGTCTAGCTCAAAGGCAGTCAAGGAAGAGCAGTTCCCTCTTAGCCTTTTTGTTCTATTTAGGCCTTCACCTGATTGGATGAGGCCGACCCACAGAAGGAGTGCCATCTGGTTTACTCAGCCTACGAATCCACAGATACCTCACAGACACACTCAGAGTAACGTTTGACCAAATACTTGGGTACTCTGTGACCCAGTCAAATTGACACATAAAAATCAACCATCACAGTCCAATGTATATGGCACCGATATGCATCTCCTTGAACCATACTTAATCTCCAAATAAAAACAATAACAAATTCATAATTCCACCTAACATGATCCAACTATCCTCCATACAACTAAAAACACACTGACTAGTAGGAGAGGTATAGCCCTTGCTCTTCTTGATATCCTGTAATTTAAATACTATTATGAAAAATTAACAATATTTGAATATTATGATGTAAATAATAAATATAAATATTATGTTACATGATAAGGGAATAGGAGAGGAAAGAAAATAGAGATACCTGTGATATACACGCATATATGTGTATGGATAGATATACATATATACATGTAGAGATACCTGTTATATTTGCACATCTATGCATATATACATGTATATGTGTGTATATGGATATATATTAAGATACACACATATTCATAACAAAATAAGGAAAAAATACTCATTACAATTACAGTCTTCATCTCTGTAACTGGTCATATCATCAAGGCTGGTATTTATAGCTACCTTCTTCCACTCTCCATTTTGTATTTCCTTTGCCTTCAGCATATGCCTCAGCTAGTTGCGTGGTTCTTTGGTGGGATGAGCCAAACCGTCATTTCTGTAGGGTCTGGGCCATTAATAGTCCTGCCTAGATTGGGTTGTGGTAGTTTTCCACTGACCTTAATTGTAGAGCATGGCAATACTAAGGGACACCGTAAGAGATCTGTATTCCAGACGTATTCTTCTTTCCTCCATTGTGGAGTTGTGGTCCAGTTTCAGGCAGGCAGTCAATCTCCCCAGACAACAGGAACTCCCTTCTTTGCCTGATGATTCAGAAACACGAGGAGGCCAAAGTGGCCGGGTGGCAGTCTTAACTTCCAGTTCAATGGAATCATTGTTGTATATTCTTGTTGAAACATTCTCCCCTCTGGAACTAAGACCTCTAGGCCAGCAGAGCCTATGGTCCCCGGAACAGGAAGCAAAGATTTTGTTAATGGGTCACTAGGGGTAATAGTGGGTGGTGCCATTCCCATTTCCACCCCTGATTATGAGACTCTGGAATCCTGGCAATGGAAGATGCAACACTATATATTGGACACTGTTTCAGAGAATATACAGCCCTCAAAAGAACTTTGCCTTAGCTAGTGCTGCATACTCAGAAGGCCATATTACTGTTCCACCAAATCAGCTGTTTCAGGATGGTGGGGGGAACATGGTTAGACCATTGAATTCCATGAGCATGGGCCCACTACCTCACTTCATTTGCTGTAAAGTGGGTTCTTTGACCAGAAGCAATGCTGTGTGGAATACCATTAACAGTGGAAAAGGCATTCTGTAAGTCCACAGATGGTAGTTCTGACAGAAGCATTGCACGTAGGGAAGACAAATCTGTATCCAGAGTAAAAATCTACTCCATTAAAAAGAAAACTTTCCTCCATGATGGAGGTGGTCCAATGTAATCAATCCGTTACAAGTCAGCTAGCTGATCCTCCTGGGGAATGGTGCCATACCAGGGACACGGTGCTGTTCTGTACTGCTAGCTGTTGAGCCGTCAGTGGTGGCCATATCCAACTTGACCTCAGTGAGTTGAAGGCCATGTTCCTAAGCCCATGCATAACCTCCAACTTTACCATCATCCCCACTTTGCTCACAAGCTCCTTAGGTGGTCACAGAAGTAGCTGGAGAAAGGGGCTGATTCATATCCACAGAATGGGTCACTTGATGATTATAATCCTCCTCTGCTGAGGTCACCCTTTGGTGAGCATTCACATCGGACACGGATATCTTCTTGTTTTTTTGCCACAAACTTGTTCCCCAAATTTCCTTGTCACCAATTTTCCAATCACGTTCCTTCTAAGTCCCTGACCATCCAGCCAAACCAATGCCTGCAGCCCACGAATTGAAATAAAATCACACATCTGGTCATTCCTCCTTCCAAGCGAAGTGAACAACCAGGTGTGTTGCTCAAAGTTCTGGAAGGATTTCCCTTCACCGCTGCCTTTCATGGATGTTCCAGACTGCTGCAGCTGTCTAACTTTTAGGTGGTACCCACATATGGTGCAGAATAATCTGTCAGACATCTGAATCTTCTCTCCTTCTGTCAGCTTATCATAAGGAACTTCCCATGAAGTGCAGGATGGGACAAAATGTCAGTGTAGCAGGAGAGGATCATCAGAATTTTAGCCACTTCTCTGTGCAACTTATTTGTGCCTGCAGGGTCTACTCAGACCCTGTCATGAATATACCACTTCCATTTGATGATGGAGTGTTGCTAGGCACACCCAACTTTATGGCTTAGTGGGTCCCACAACACCCAGTTCATGGTGGGTAGATCAGATCACATGGTAACTTGGTGGCCCATGGTTAAGTGTTCAGTCTCTGTGATGGCCCTGCAGCAGGGCACAAGCTGTTTCTCAAAAGGGGGGCAGTTACCTGCAGAGGATGGCAGGGCTTTGTTCCAAAAGTCAAAGGGCCTCACCTATGATTCACATATAGGGGCCTGCCTAAGACAACGGCAGCATCCCTCTCTGCCATTGATGCTTTAAGACCCATTGGACCTCCTGGACGCTATGGCTCAAGTAACAGTGCAGCCTGCACAGGAGCCTATACCTGTTGAAGAGGCTTCTCTTGTTCTGGGCTCCACCCAAAACTGGCAGCTTTTCAGGGCACTCAGTAAATGGGCCTGAGTAACACACTCAAGCGAGTAATAGGTCGCCTCTGAAGTCCAGAGAGGCCCACTAAATATTGCGCTTCTTTTTTGGTTGTAGGAGGGGCCAGAAGCAACAACTTGTTCTTTACTTCAGAAGGGATATTTGGACATGTTGCTCATCACTGGACCCCTGGAAATTTCACTGTACTAGAAGTTTCCCAAATTTTAGTTGGATTTGTGTGTCCCACTCTTTGACACGCAAGTGTCTTAACAGTAAATATAGAGCAGTTGCTACTCTTAGTTTGCTAGGTCCAATCAGCGTAATGTAAAGTCACCCAGATCCTTGCTTCCTATAAGTCATTGATTAGGAGTATCAAAGGGTGATGCTTTGAGTATCTTTCTTGTCAGATCACTGGCTGTCTTCACATGACCACACAGAACTGAATCTTGTAGGAGCTACTGAACTTAGAAGAGAATGCCAGACCTCAGATGAGAATCACAGCCCTACTGACACCTTAAAACCCCTTCAGCCTTGGAAATTCTGACCTACAAAAATGGTGAGATGATAAATCGGTGTTGTTTTCAACCACTAAGTTTGTGGTGATTTAATCTATTGCAAAGCAAGAGGAAATTCATATAGTAAGAATTGCTTAGAATGTTTTGGAAAAGAAGAATTTAAAAAGGCTTATTATGTAAGATATTAAAACTCACTTTAAAACTTTGATAATCAAAGCAGTGTCAACTTTTGCACCACAAAGTGATGTAAAAAAAAAAATCACCAGAAAAAAGCAAGTAGTTCTGCAATCAACTGAGTATGTGCATATATAGATATTGTGTCTAATATAAAGGAATGATTTTCAACAACATTGTTGGGAATACTGACAAAACATCTAGAGGCAAAATTAAAGTTTTAAAAATCTTATCTTGTAGCTATGACAAAAATATGAGAGTTGAATCTAAAACATAAGATTATGAAAAAAGTAGAGTTGGAGAAAGATTTATAAGTATAAAATATGGTGACATATCCCATGAGCCTTAATAAAATTCACATTCCTACTTCTGGGAAAATATTCTTAGAAAACTCAGAAATGAGATAAAGATTTTTGAAGAATGATTTTTCTTTTAGCATCATTTATGATTCCCAAAAATATCCAATAGGCAAATGTTTACATAAATTATGCTGTAGTAATTTAATATTGTGTACACAGTCTCCAAAAAACAAGAGTCTAAGTGTATCAGACAAAACATTTTTACTAACAGCAGACTGTAATAAAAAACCTTTAACTTATGTTAAGTGGAAAAAAAGAAAAACCTACAAAATTATTTAAATATAACATGTTTACGTAGAAAATTTAGAAAACGTATTTTAAAAAGAAAGAAAATAAAAACTCTGTTTAATCTCATCATCCAGGACTAAGCACTGTTACTATTTTGTTGACTATCTTTTTAGACTTTTTTCAATGTGTACATACACATTTAAGTATAACTTTTAAATAAAAACTATAATAACACCTTATACCATATTTTGTAACTTACATTTTCATTCAATAACATGACAAACATAAACATAACTTCATGAAAATAATGTGACACTTTAAGAATGTGACTAACTTCGTCGTATTTCCTTTTATGTAAGTGATTTACTTAATCATTCCCATATTATCTTTTTTCCCCACTTTTTCTTTGTAATAATACTTAATGCTGTAAAGAATAATCGGGTAATCAACTTACATCCTTAAAAAGTTACTTTAAAGTATGTGGAAATTTTTAAGCCTGAAGATATGATAAATGTTATAATTCATAATTAATGTGAAATAATAAACATGAATGGGAAATGAGCTCTAAGATGATAGAGAATTTACTAAGAAATTTACTTTAGTTTTTTATTTCCAAATATATGAAAACAGTTTTTAAAAATGAAAAAAAAAATAAATATGCGTAGTTAAAAAGTCAAATATGCCAGAAAGGTTTCTAAGGAAAACAGCTCTATGGAGAGGGGCGAAGCTTGTTCATTGTCTAATTTAGGTGAAAGAGCAGTATTCCAGTGGTGTTGCTTTTAAAACCTAATCTTAGAATGGACAGATCATCTCTTTAAGGTAATATCTCCCACAAGGACCTTAGTTCTCTAGAATTTTCCATTCAATTTTTAAGAAAAGAACTCTCATTCCTGGAAGGGTAAATGCCTGTCTACTGGGGCATTGACTCCTGGGCTGAAGGTTGGCTTGACCTATTAGGCTATAGACTTCAGTTGTCCACATTTACCCTCTATTGTACCTAGAATTCCCAAGTTCAAGCTTTCCTGTGGTTCTTTTTTTTATTATTTTATTTTATTATGTTATGTTAATCACCATACATTACATCCTGTGGTTCTTGGAATCAGGGCAGTCTTCCTTCTCAGATGCTCACCCATCTCTGCCTATTCTTGACCACTTGGATCGTCCACAATGCCTACATCTGCTTTCCATTTTTTAGAAATGTATTGACACTTTAAATCCCCTTAAGTCCCCCCCTTTCTCTTCTTTGTTGTGAGTTTATACTTTTAAAAGTTATTATTATTATTATTATTTATTATTGCCCTTGCAATAAATTAGCGGAGGCTCAGGCAGGAGAGGAGATAGATGTATGTCTAATACATCACTTTGAACCAGAAGTTAACTATTTGTTTTAAGTGTACTTGATTATTGATTCTAGGGTGTGCAACCTGTGGATTCAGCAAGTTGGTATCACTGAACTTCAATTTCTTCATCTGTACAATGGGTTTAATAAAACAGGGCTTGTATTTAGGTGGGATCAAAGGAAATTATCACATGCCTGCAAAAGGGCTTTATGAAGCCCCAAAACTACACACAGCTGGGGTTTATTTTACTCCGTCAGTCTTCTCCCATGTGTGAGATGGTTATTTCCTCTTATAACCTGGCTCATAAGGAGATTTCTCAAAAAGTATAGACTCTTTCTCTTCTAAACCTATTTTATGCTGAACAAAAAAATCATAGAATTTTTAAATCATCAAGTGTATTTTTTCAAAAAGGGGTTACTTTTTGGATCACCTGTATGGTGCTCTTTTCTTCTTCTTATTTCAAAATGTCACAGGTCTTAGCAAAATATCATAAAAGGCAAGATCATGCTAGGCTGCCTTTTTTTTTTTAATTTCAGTAAGAAAACCAATTAGCTGGTAAAAGGAGAATAAAAGTACTTGTGAAATCTTTAATCAATGTGCTAATTGAAAAAGTAGTTTGTTTTCCTTGTTGTTGTCAGATCATTAGGATCATGTTGTAATTCATCAGCCTCCGAAGAAGGAGGAAATGTGAAATCGCTCAAGCACCTTGACTCCTGGTATTTTTACTAGACAGAACTATCCTATAATGTCTTGCCTTATGCATTCTAGCTGACCTAAAGGCAAATTCAAAATGATCAATACAACTAAGCTTTTATTCTCTCTCACTTGCTGGTGTGATTCTGTGCAGTTCACTTTTTGGTGATTAATAACTAGCTAAGGCAACTTGCCTGTGGACCTGCACAGCATTTCCTGTCCAGTCATCAAGCCATTAATCTGCATGTATCAGCAATAGGCATTAATCATTAATACTAAAATACAGCGTTGTCATTAGGCAAGGGATTAGGAGTGTAGAATGTGTCCATTGCTAAAAAACAAAGAATTCAGTATCCATTTCCAGGTCCCCAAATTATGCACCTGAAAATCATTACAATACATAGCCTGTTACTGCAGTATGAACACAATTAAGAACCATTATTTGCTTTATATGTCAAGTCTGCCCTTCATTTCTGGGTTGGGGAAACTGAAATACGTGTCGATTTGTGATGATCATATACCTGAGTACTAGTGGTTATTTCCATAACCTAACCCTAACCCCACCCCCCAGCAGTCATAATTCTTGGTTATTTTATTTTTACAGCTTTCAGTGGACTTCTTTAAGCTATTAAAAGTCAGTATACGTTTTTTTCTAATTACATTTTAATTTGTGTTCAATTAACAGGGCAGAAGAACCAAATACTAAGAGATTTATAGAAGGTGGAATGCAGACATTTCTTTATTCCAAGAAAGTTCAAGTATCTTCTAGACTAACATTTCCTAAGCTTGCATGATTATAAGGATCATTTAAAAAGTGCATTGGTGAGCTACCCCAGAACTCAGTGGCTTATAATGGCCATCTATGATTGCCTTCAAATCTGTGGGCTGACTGTGTGTCTGCCAGTCTGCTTGGCTTGGCTGATCTTGGCCAGGCTCACTGTGTGTCTGCAGTCAGCTCTCAGGTAGATTTGCATGGTCTCAGATGTCTGATGGCTGACTGGCTGTCAGTTGAGTGATGGGGTGACAGAGGCCACATGTCTCTAATAATGCAGCAGACTAGACAGGGCTTGCTTACCAGCGAGTAAGAGAACAAGTGAAAATAAGCAAAGCCATTTGAGGCTTAGGCTCAGGACTGGCTCAGCATTACTTCTGCCCCGCTCTATTGGTCAGAGCAGGTCCAAAGACCAGCCCAGATTCAGTGCGGGCATTTAGGCTTCACATCTACTTGGGAGGAGCTGCTTTGCCACATTGCAAATGGCATGGATACAGGGAAGGATGGAAGGTTTTGAGGATCTTAAAGAAAAAAAATATATACTCTAGGGATTGTTTAAAAATACAGATTCCTGGGCCCTGCCTCAGATACCAACGTCCATCTGAAGACTACAAAAGGTTGTGAATTCTATTCAATTCCACCTCCATTTGGTGCTCTCAGAAAGATCTACGGAACTTTCTAGTCTACTGTATTTCACTCACAACCTCCTCCCTCTCTGAGATTGATGAAGTAAGTGAAGACTTCTCCCAACCCTATTTTTTTCTGCAAAATAAACTAGGTTGAACTATTTAGTTCTTCTTTCAAAATATAGGACAATAACATCTTCTGGGGGTAGACTGTAGCTCCATGGTGCTTGTATGCCAAGGTTACTGGCCATTTGGTCAAACGCAGCTTTCAAAATGTGGCACTAATAACCTTACAGAAAAATATCAGTGAATTCATTCCCTCGGCAAATATTTATTGAGTATCTAGTATGTACTCGGTTCTGTAAATATAAAGATATTAAATACAGCCTTTTTGCTTAAACATTGGGTTTACTAGAAGAAAGAGGAGGACTTTATTGCCAGAAAACTTTCTAGGAATGTCAGGGAATTAGTGGTATTAAGCAAATAATGTATTTTACTACATATGTATTTGCTCTAAACATCAACAAAATCCCTTATCTTGAAAATTCAGATAATTTTTAGGCTGTAGGAGTATTAAAAAAGATAACTTAATGTTCGGATTCAAAATTAACACCCTCAAATTCTGAACTCTTTTGTTGTTGTTGTTTTTTTCTTTCTGGGGGGCATCTTGGTTATTTGACATCCAGTAACATAAGGAGTGGGATGAATCTTAACCTAAATTCACAGGGTGATTGCAGGTTGAAGGCAACACTCATTCTCAACAAGGACCTTGGTGTAGATGAGACCATTTCAATGTTCATACTTAACGAGCCACATCGGTGTCTCATATGTTTTCTAGTCTATA